ATCGGGTACATCCGTGACTAAGATAGTGAAACGTTTCTTTCTGTAGGATGATTAGTTTTTAACAAGTTAGAAATTAGCCATTGTCATAATTCTTTGAATTATTGCTCCTCCCACCTCCGTCCATACACACACAAACACACACACACACACACACACACACACACACACACACACACACACACACTTCCTCCAGGATAAGTATATTCCAAGTCCAAGGATAGAGGGAAGGAAGACCAGGGTGAATCCTATGTGTCTGACCAAGCATTCTGCAGAGTCTGCCTCTGTATGATGAGTAGCATAGTAAACCAGGAATTCTTGAACTTATGGTCCATTCTTATGCTGGATAGTTTTATGGCAACTTGACATGACCTATTGTCATCTGAAAGGAGAGGCCTTCAACTGAGGAAATGACTCTATAAGACTAGCTATAGGCAAGACTGTGGAACATTTTTCCTAATTAGTGATTGATGTGCCAGGGCCCAACACATTGTGGTTGGGGCCATATCTGGGCAGGTGGTCCTGGGTTCTATAAGAAAGCAGGCTGAGCAAGCCAGTAAGCAACACTCCTCCATGGCCTCTGCATCAGTACCTGCCTCCAGGTCCCCAGGTCCCTGTTTGAGTCCCTGTCCTGACTGACTTTGATGATCAACAGTGTGATTGTGAAAGTGTCAGCCAAATAAACCCTTTCCTCCCAAGTTGCTTTTGTTCATGGTCTTTGTCACAGAAATAGTAACCCCAAGACAGAAACAGGAACCAGAAGTGGGGTATTGCTATCACAGGCCTGACCATGTTTTGGGAAGGATTGTGGAAGGATGTTGGGCTGGAAAAGCCATTGAGTGTTGAGAGCTCAGTGGACTGTTCTGTAGGAGCTGAGGATAAGAATGTTGGGAACAGAGCAGGTGGAGGCCTGGTGTGTGAAGTTTCAGAGGGAAGCAAACTTGGCCTCTTCTGTGGACAGTCTTTGGTGTCTGGTCACCTGGAACTGAATAGTCACCTGTGATTAAGAAGAGATCGGCATCACGGAGGTGAAGTCTTATGGGAAGTGTTTCTTTGGGACCAGCACACAGAAGCTGTGCTCCAGAGGCAGCCAAGGTTGTACCTCCTGACAGCCAAACTTGGCAGAGTAAGAGTCACTCAGGTGGTACTGATTTTGATGGCATGAGGGGTCATGGAGAGTAGCTGAGACTTGGCACTGTGGCAGGGCTGGCATCCCTGAAAAAAGCCCAGGAGAGGCTGTCATCACAACTCAAATGTTGTGATGAAACACCGTGACCAAAAAGCAAGTTGGGGAGGAAAGAGTTTAATTGGCTTGAACTTCATATTGCTGTTCATCTTCAAAGGAAGTCAGGACAGGAACCCCAAACACAGCAGGAACCTTGGAGGCAGGAGCTGATGCAGGGGCCATGGAGGGATGGTGCTAACTGGCTTACTCCCCTGGTTTGCACAGTTTGCTTTTTAATAGAACCCAGGACCACCAGCACAAGAATGGAACAACCCCCAGCTGGATCTTATGGAGGCATTTTCTCAGTAGAGGTTCCCTCCTTTAAGATAACTCTAGTGTGTGTGTCAAGTTGATATAAGACTAGCCAGCACAGAGGCTATTGGTGAAAGTACAGCCCAGTTTCAGCAAAAGACCCCCAACATTTTGGAGATGCCAGTACCACAGGGTGATCACCAAGACACAGCAATAGCAGTGGAGTGAAGCCAGCTCGAGCCTAGAAGACAAGCTGTGTGTACTGCAGAGGACAGGGCTGGAGAAGTGACCCAAGCCCCTCAGAGGACCCCAGAAAATTGTGAGTGGATTCCACACATTGGACACTGAGTTATTTACACAATTGGAAGTTTTTCTTTTTTGTGTCTATTTGTCCTGGAATTCACTATGTAAACCAGGCTGGCTTCGAACTCATAAATCTACCTGCCTCTGCCTCCCAAGTGCTGGGATTAAGCACATGTGCCACCATTGACCAGCTGATTTTACTTTGATTTGATTGTGACTGCTCTCTGGTTCTCTCCTCTTGAAATAAGAAAGTATTTAACTCATTTTTTCATTTTATAGGAGCCACAGTTGAGAGACTTTGGATTTTAAAAGCAACTAAATTTTTTAAGTGTTTGATTTTGTAATACTTGTAGGACTTTTTAAGTTTAAAAATGTTTTATACTGTGATGTTAGTATTAATGTGTGGTCTTGGGGATGAACCAGAAAAGAAAGGTTGTGGCTTAACAGTGATGTTTGTGTGTCAAGCTCACAAGAGGTCAATTGTGTCGGCTAGTTTTGTGTCAACTTGACACACGCTGTAGTCATCTGAGAGGAGGGAACCTCAATTGAGAAAATGACTCCAAAAGATACAGCCATAAGGCATTTTCTTAATTAGTGATTGATGGGGAAGGCCCAGTCCATTGTGGGTGGTGCCATCCCTGGGCTGGTGCTCCTGGGTTCTATTAGAAAGCAGACTAAGCAAGCCGTGGAGAGCAAGCCAGTAAGCAGCACCCCTCCATGGCCTCTGCATCAGTTCCTGCCCTGTTTGAGGTCCTGTCCTGACTTCTTTGATGATGAAAAGTGATGTGTAAGTGTAAGCCAAATAAACCCTTTCTTCCCAGCTTGATTTTGCTCATGGTGTTTCATCACAGCAATAGTAACCCTAACTAAGACAATTCTTGTGTTTCAGGGTCTTACTCATCCTTTCAAGTTCTGAACTCAGAATTTGTTACAAGCTGCTAGCTTTACTGTGGTCCCATTCTGGCCCTGGTTGCATCAGCCCTTGAGGAACAAATAATTGTGTGACTGTAGCATGAGACTTCAAGCAGTTGGCTCAATACTGGAAAAATAAAAGACCCTACCAGATTGGTTCTCCTGTCTATAGCAATGTTAGCCTCAAGAAAGAGGATGGCCAATTCTTCACGCTCACAGGTCCTCCTAATGTGGAAGCCAGACAAGGTTCAAAACAGGCCCTACAGTGACGAGAAGCAAACACTCACTTCAAGACTCTTGCGTGACACTGAGACCTGTCGACAGAATTTTAGGAATTTTTCATACCCAGATGTGGCAGGGCCCCGGAAAGCGTTGAGTCAGCTCCCAGAGCTCTGCCTTAAGTGGCTGAGACCTGAGGTTCACTCCAAAGAACAAATCCTGGAGTTGCTGGTGCTGGAGCAATTCCTGACCATCCTGCCTGGGGAGGTTAGGGCTTGGGTCAAGTCTCAGTACCCAGAGAACAGCGAGGAAGTGGTGACTCTGGTGGAGGATGTTACTCAAATTCTAGAAGAGGAAGGTGAGAATTGTACAGCAGAGGTGGGTAGCATCCCTGGGTGGTTAGAGAAGATGCCTAGTGCCTCTGAGAGCAGCCCCCTTAAATGAAACTGGGGAGAATGAGGTCTTTGAGTAAAGAGCTTTAGCAGGAAGTCCATGCTTCATTGTGTCCCCTTCCAGGGTACTTGGGACCACTGTGACTCGAAGAGGTTTGTATCACTATGCTAATAAACCATTAGTTTTACAAATTGGGTTTTACAAAAATGTACTTCCAACCAGGTGTTGGTGGTGCACACCTTTAATCCCAGCACTCAGGAGGCAGAGGCAGGCAGATCTCTGTGAGTTCGAGGCCAGCCTGGTCTACAGAGCGAGTGCCAGGATAGGCTCCAAAGCTACACAGAGAAACCCTGTCTTGGAAAAAAAAAAAAAAGAAAGAAAGAAAGAAAAAAGAAAGTACTTCCAAAATAGTGCAAGTATCCAAAGAACATTCATGTATGGAGACAACTCACAACTTTGTATCCGACATTTAGAGAGCAGGGGATGTACATAGCCTGGTGGTAGAGTGCTTGCCTTCATGTAAAGGTTCCGGGTTCAATGCCAGCACCACCCCCCAAAAAAGAGACATATGAATTTTCTGCATATACTTAGTGCCAAAGCAGGCTTGTTTTTTTTTTTTTAATCTGCCCTGGTGAGTTAGGGCGGTCGTTGGCCTTTTTCTAACTCTGACACATTACCCAAGTTTTCACTCATCTTTGCCTTCTCACATTGAGAAAGTGTAGACATAGCTGGTGAAGCGTGTCCGAGACCATGCAAACAAACTAATCATCATTGTCTTCCCCAGCTCCTCAGAATCCCACCCTTCCCCAAGAAGTCCCAGAGGAAGAACCCAAACATGCTTTCCAGGCAGGGTGGTTCAACGACCTGGTGACCAAAGTGAGTTTGATTTTCTTCTGTCCTGGGCCTGTAACTGCTAAGCCCTCAAAAGCCCCATTCAGAACCTAGGCCTGAGTCTCCCTTGGTAAGCACTGTGCCTCCCTCCCTTGTCTTCATCACTCTGACTTCAATCAGCAGTATTGTGTGAAGGTTAAGAGTCTGAACCCACAGCCAGATGGGATCTGGGGTGTGGGGGAGTGGCTCTGCTAGTCACTCTGTGATTTGAGACAAGATTCTTAACCACTCCTGGCCTAAGTTATTCAATGCCAAAAAGGAGACTTTACCTTTTAGATTGTAGACGCTAAATATGAGATACCTGATTATATTAGATTATAGCAGTGGTTGCTAATATTTTTCTTCATCAAAAAGTAAAGGCCATATGTTCTGTGATCAACTGTTTGAATGGTAGTCTCTTATTTAAGGAATAACGATTCAAGCAACATTAAGAGGAGGATTTATTGGAGGGAGAATATGTATACACATACGTGTGTGTGTGTGTGTGTGTGTGTGTGTGTGTGTGTAGCTTCTGGTACCCAGACTATGATTTTTTTTTATAGTTGATATAAACATCCTTACTTGGAAAACTAAGGGGAAATGTGTTAGAAATAATAGAAACAGACTGCTATAGAAAATAACATGCAAAAATGTATCCCATATTCTGTAAAGATCATATGATTAAAATGAAATGAAACATTATTTAGTCTGTACCATGCATGCAAAAGAAAACCTTGAGATAGCTAGAACTAAGCATAGTATGGATTTTACAGTATTTCCATGTCCTTTGTCATTTTATGGGATGTTTAAAAAAAACTTGAATAATTGCAAAGCTGTCATCTTCCTAAATTATAAACTTATATGATTTTACCCTCTCAATTTTTCACTTGGGCAAGGCTAAGGCAGTAGTGTCCTGTATTCAACACCAACCTAGGCTATACACTAAGACCTTGACTCAAAAATATGTGTTTTGTTTTTTTTTAAGTTACAACTGAAAAAAAAGGAGCATGCCAGAGTAATGAAGAACCTGATAGTACGAATCTTTATTCCCAGCACTAGGGGAGCAGAAGCAGGTGGATCTCTGTGAATTCAAGAAGCCAACCTGCTCTATTCAGTGAGTTCTAGGCTAGCCAGGGCTACATAGTGAAGATAAAAAACACCTTTTGGTTGTGAGCCTATCCTTTAAAGGCTGATCAATCTCTCCAACCCAAAAATAACAAACAAAAGAAAATTTTTAGCAAGAACAAAAAGAGACGGAAACCTTTCCAGTAAATGTGTCTACAAATGCAGCAGTTCAACAGGAATAAGGATAAGGATAACAAGAATGAATTCTGCATTTCATTGTGGAGCATGTAGATTTTTAATTATAGCTTGTTGAATTTATTCTTAAGGCAAAACCAACTCTGTAGTCTATTTTTCAGCCCTTCCTGTGGGCTTGAGAGATGACTTAGTAGGCAAAGTGCTTGCCACACAAACGTGAGGGCCTGAGTTTGGATCCCCAGAACCCACATAAGCTAGAAGTGGTAATATGCATCCATAACCCAGAGCTCTTGTGGCAAGATAGGCAGCAGAAACAGGAGAATTCCTAGGAGTTCACAGGCCAGGCAGCAAACAAGAGGCCCTGTCTCAAATAAGGTAAAGTTTATGACTGACACCTAAGGTTGTCTTCTGTCTGCCACATACTCCATGACATTGGCATGCATCCCAACACGCACGCACGCACACACGTGCCATGCACACATAAAGTCACTTTCCTTTCTCTTTTATTTTTTTACAGCGCTAGGGATCGAATCTGAGTCTGGAGTCCACTAGACAAGTGCTCAACCACTAAGCTACACCCCAGTCATTTTCTTCTTTAAGATGGACCCAGCAGACCAGGCGTTGGTGGCACACGCCTTTAATCCCAGCACTCAGGAGGCAGAGGCAGGCAGATCTCTGTGAGTTCGAGGCCAGCCTGTTCTCCACAGAGAGTGCCAGGATAGGCTCCAAAGCTCCACAAAAAACCCCGTTCTCGAAAAAAAAAAAAAAAGATGGAGCCAGCAGACCAGGCGTTGGTGGCTCACGCCTTTAATCCCAGCACTCAGGAGGCAGAGGCAGGCAGATCTCTGTGAGTTCGAGGCCAGCCTGTTCTCCACAGAGAGTGCCAGGATAGGCTCCAAAGCTCCACAAAAAACCCCGTTCTCGAAAAAAAAAAAAAAAGATGGAGCCAGCAGACCAGGCGTTGGTGGCTCACGCCTTTAATCCCAGCACTCAGGAGGCAGAGGCAGGCAGATCTCTGTGAGTTCGAGGCCAGCCTGTTCTCCACAGAGAGTGCCAGGATAGGCTCCAAAGCTCCACAAAAAACCCCGTTCTCGAAAAAAAAAAAAAAAGATGGAGCCAGCAGACCAGGCGTTGGTGGCTCACGCCTTTAATCCCAGCACTCAGGAGGCAGAGGCAGGCAGATCTCTGTGAGTTCGAGGCCAGCCTGTTCTCCACAGAGAGTGCCAGGATAGGCTCCAAAGCTCCACAAAAAACCCCGTTCTCGAAAAAAAAAAAAAAAGATGGAGCCAGCAGACCAGGCGTTGGTGGCTCACGCCTTTAATCCCAGCACTCAGGAGGCAGAGGCAGGCAGATCTCTGTGAGTTCGAGGCCAGCCTGTTCTCCACAGAGAGTGCCAGGATAGGCTCCAAAGCTCCACAAAAAACCCCGTTCTCGAAAAAAAAAAAAAAAGATGGAGCCAGCAGACCAGGCGTTGGTGGCTCACGCCTTTAATCCCAGCACTCAGGAGGCAGAGGCAGGCAGATCTCTGTGAGTTCGAGGCCAGCCTGTTCTCCACAGAGAGTGCCAGGATAGGCTCCAAAGCTCCACAAAAAACCCCGTTCTCGAAAAAAAAAAAAAAAAAAAGATGGAGCCAGCAAATGCATGTGCTAGTAACAGCTGAAAACAGTATATTCTACCTTATTTTTAAATGTTCCTTTAAGAACCTTTTAAGGTTACTATGGAGTCAGCCACACATTGGATGAGGGTTTGGGAGCTTTGGTCTGGTTGATTGGTTGAAGACAGGATCTCACCATGTAGTTCAGGCTAGCCCAGAACTTATTGAATGCTGGTGTTACAAGTGTGAGCCACCACACTCAGCAAGATGACACTTAAGATTTTGTGACTTCCACCACCATAGACACACACCCAGTGTCACCACTGTCTCCTTCCTCACTAGTTATTCAACTAAGTTATGTTTGACATTTTAGGAGTCAATGACATTCACAGATGTGGCTGTGGATATCACCCAAGAGGACTGGGAACTGATGCGCCCCGTTCAGAAGGAACTGTATAAGACTGTGACTCTACAGAACTATTGGAACATGGTTTCTCTAGGTAAGGTCCATACCTCTTCTCCCAAAAGGCCATCCACAGTATGTTCCTACCCTCCTTACTAAAAATTAGGTTAGGTGCCTGAAGGACCTGACTGAAGACAGTCTAAACATGAGACGTCTCCTTCCGGCACAAAATTGTCATGTTCTACTGTTCCCCAAAAGAAAGGCTTGCTGGGTGTGTCAGTGTGCATCACGGCACACAGCTGTGCAGCTCCATCAGTGTGCATCACGGCACACAGCTGTGCAGCTCTGTCAGTGTGCATCACAGCTGTGCAGCGCTATCAGTGTGCATCACAGCACACAGCTGTGCAGCTCCATCAGTGTGCACCACACCACATAGCTGTGCAGCGCTGTCAGTGTGCACCACAGCTATGCAGCGCTGTCAGTCTGCATCACACCACACAGCTGTGCAGCGCCGTCAGTGTGCACCACACCACACAGCTGTGCAGCTCTGTCAGTATGCACCACAGCTGTGCAGCGCCGTCAGTGTGCATCACACCACACAGCTGTGCAGCTCTGTCAGTGTGTATCACAGCTGTGCAGCTCTGTCAGTGTGCATCACAGCTGTGCAGCGCTGTCAGTGTGCATCACGGGACACAGCTGTGCAGCGCTGTCAGTGTGCATCACGGCACACAGCTGTGCAGTGCTGCCTCTGGATGCTGCCTCACACCTAGTTCTCCTACTAGGTCATGTCCATGAGCCATTGTCTCCCCACAGAAGCCAAGTGAAAATCAGGTGCTAAAGGCACAGGATAAACTCTTCTGTTCCTCCTAACCAGGACTGACCGTCTACAGGCCAACTGTGATTCCCATCTTAGAAGAGCCATGGATGGTGATAAAAGAAATTGTAGAGGGCCCTAACCCAGGTGAGAAGAAAAGCCAACACATGACCTTATACTCAAGAATCTGTGTCCTTGGAGTCATGATATTTGATTTATAAACATAGCAAGGTGACTGCAGAGGCATCCAGCTGGTCTAAAATTTGGAGCTGTTGGCATCATTGCCTTATGGGAAGTCTTCAGGAAAAGTTTTTGAGTGTCATTTTTATGCCTTTGCCACTATCTACATGTTTTATCCTCAAAGATACCTAGATCCCATCTCTTAGACCATCTCTAGGGCTTCACTGTGCCATTCCCCAACTCTTGATATACAAGTGTATTAGTCAGGGCTCTCTAAAGGAACAGAACTGATTGAATAAAATATATTTATATGGGAGATCAGTGTGTGTGTATGTGAGAGAGAGAGAGACAGAGAGAGAGAGAGAGAGAGAGAGAGAGAGAGAGAGAGAGAGAGAGAGAGAAATGTGTGTTTATGAAAGTGAAATTTAAAGACTGGTCTGAGTAGTCCAACAGTAGCTGTCTCCCAGTAGAAATGCCAAGAATCACCTGGCAATGGTGGCACACACCTTTAATTCCAGCACTTGGGAGGCAGAGGCAGATGGATCTCAGTGAGTTCAAAGCCAGCCTGGTCTACAGAGTGAGTTCCAGGACAGCCAAAGCTACATAGACCCTGTCTCAAAAAGAAAACAAAATTCATTATCAATGTTATTAGTAGTAGTAGTATTTGGGATTGTATCTGTAGGTTGGAAGGGAAAAGAATAAAGCAGCATATCTACTTTATGAGATCACTATATGTATAAATTACACCAGGTATCCAAGTTTCTCTTAACACTGGCACCTGTCGCCTCTGTGTGCTTTATACCATACGAACAAGTAAGAAGCCTCTCCATTTTCAGTGATTTATCTCCTCCTCTTCTAAGCATTCATTTTCCTTCCTTAAACTTTAAGGACCATAAAATGAAGTTATCAGAACTGTAATCTTCAGATATTTTTATTTATGTATATTGTTTTGTTTCCTTTAAGGAGAGTAAGACTTAATTTTTTTTTGAATTTCAGAATGGGAAACAAAAACTCAAGCACATATCCCATTAAAGGATCTTCCTAAACTCAAACAGGATGGAACCCAGACCATCAAATTTGAAGAAGTCTATGACTGTGATGACAGTTTAGAGAGAGAGCCAGAGTATGACTTCAGCAAGATGCACATGGATGAAAGAGATTTCAGTTTAAAGTCAGAGATCTCACAAGAAGACCCTACAGAAGAATACCTTAGCAAATATGATATATATAGAGATAATTTTGAAAAGCACACAAACCTAATTGTACAATTTGATACCCAATCAGATGATAAAACTTCCCTGTATAATGAAAGCAAGCCAATGTTCAATAATGTCTCATCTGGCATTGTACATGGGAAAATACTTCCTGGAGATAAGCCTTATTCGTGTAATGTCTGTGGGAAAAAATTTAGGAAATACCCATCACTCCTGGCACACAGAAATAGCCATGCCAAAGAAAAATCTTATGAATGTGAAGAATGTGGGAAAGAGTTTAAGCATATCTCATCCCTCATTGCACATCAGAGAATGCATACTGGAGAGAAACCATATGAATGTCACCAGTGTGGTAAAGCCTTCAGCCAGCGTGCACACCTTACTATCCATCAGAGAATTCATACTGGAGAAAAACCCTACAAGTGTGATGATTGTGGAAAAGACTTTAGTCAGCGTGCACATCTTACTATACATCAGAGGACACATACTGGTGAGAAACCATATAAATGTTTGGAATGCAGTAAAACCTTTAGCCATAGTTCATCACTGATTAATCATCAGAGAGTTCATACTGGAGAAAAACCTTACATATGCAATGAATGTGGGAAAACTTTCAGTCAGAGTACACACCTTCTCCAACATCAGAAAATTCATACTGGGAAAAAACCATATAAGTGCAATGAGTGTTGGAAGGTGTTTAGTCAGAGTACTTATCTTATTCGACATCAGAGAATTCATTCTGGAGAGAAGTGCTATAAATGCAATGAGTGTGGAAAGGCCTTCGCTCATTCCTCAACTCTTATACAGCACCAAACTACCCATACTGGAGAGAAAGCCTATATATGTAGTGTATGTGGGAAAGCCTTCAGCCAGAGTGCAAACCTTACTCAGCATCATAGAACACACACCGGAGAGAAACCGTATAAATGTAGTGTGTGTGGGAAGGCCTTCAGCCAGAGTGTGCACCTTACTCAACACCAGAGGATCCACAATGGAGAAAAGCCCTTCAAATGTAATGTATGTGGGAAAGCATATAGACAAGGTGCAAATCTTACTCAACATCAAAGGATTCATACCGGAGAAAAACCCTATAAATGTAATCAATGTGGAAAAGCTTTTATTTATTCTTCATCACTTAATCAACACCGAAGAATTCACACTGGAGAGAGACCCTATAAATGTAACCAGTGTAACAAAGATTTTAGCCAGAGAACATGCCTTATTCAACACCAGAGGATTCACACAGGAGAGAAGCCCTATGCATGCCGTATATGTGGGAAAAGCTTCACCCAGAGTACCAATCTTATTCAGCATCAGCGTGTTCATACCGGTGCCAGATACCGCAACAGGTGCCAGACACCCCAGTTATTTGACATGACTTTGTTTAAGTTTTCAGACTTGATGGCTTAAGTTTCATTTTGTGTGCTGTGTCAAACTATTTGAAAGAAATCTGAAGTGCAATATGCTAGATACCATAGTAGCAGGAGTACCAGAATTAGTAGAATGGCTCTTGTCCATTCAGATCTTAGAAACCTAGAGCTCCATCAACTGCTTAGCTTTTGTCTCATAACACTTGAATTCATTCCAGAAGGAAATACTGTGAAAGAGTATTTTAAAACCTGTGACTCATCAACTCTTGGCATATTTCAAGTATGCTTTATTGAGGCCTTATGACTGTAACTTGGGCAAGTGTCTGTCACACTAGATTACTCGCACTAGAGAGTAATCCTGACATTATAGGAAAGAAGGTATAGATGCTTTGAGGCCTTTGCTTCATCCTAGCTTTGAAGCCTTAAAATAAGTAAAAGGCCCCTCCCATTTTTTGCTTCCTCTTTTCCCATCACAACTTCCATGTGAAGCCAGGAGGAGGAAACCTGAAAGGCTCTTAAAAGATTTCTACATGACCACTGTTAACTTCCTCCAGGAGAGGAGGCAATCTGATAAGATAAAGGATCAGTGTATACAAAACCCTAGCCATGAACAAACTCAAGACATATATTAAACACCCCAAGCTTAAAGTCATCTTTAGTACAACAGTATTTTTAGTTTCACTTGGTTTTGACCTCCAGTGTCACCCTGAAGGAAAAAAAAAAAAAAGACAGGCTCACTGTTCCCTTTTTTTTTCCCAACTAGCTTTTAAATTGACAAGTTTTTCCATGGCCCTTACTGTGGCAAAGCCATTTCTTCCATTGAAACACATTTCCTAAGAGCCCTCTGTGCTCAGGACAGACTTTTTGATTGAACCCTTTCAGTCAACAAAGATCTTTAAAGAAAAGGTAAGGATGTGCTCTTAACTACTTTGCCATGGAACAAGCATCATCCTGCCTAAATGAGTTGCCAAATACAACCCTATAAGCCAAGTTTCATGAGCAATGAACATAGCTTTATAAATAACTTGAGAATAAAAAATAGAAAAGATTGGGATCCAGTGCAGAGGCGGCAAGGGAAAACCAGGGTGGAAAGAAGTGGAGAAGGGAAGTTATGCAAGTAGCTGGTGTGACATGAAATATAACTGGACCCCCTTTACCTAAAGAAATAATAGTGGTTAAAAAATTAACTTATTCATAGAAAACTAAAAATGAAATTATTTTCAGGAATACTTCGAAGCCTAGTACTCCTTCACACATGAAAGTAAAACAAATTACACTTCATGTGTTAGGAAAATGTTTCATTGGAAAAAACATTGATGCAGAAACTATCATTAAGCAGTAATCATTAAACAATAACTGAATTCATGGGTCTTAAACAACATAAAAGAAAGACTGGCAGGAATTGATTTTTATTTGTTGTTGTATTTACTATCCATAGCATCACACTCTTAGAATATAAAGCAGAGCTTCATTTTGCTCCTTCTTGTTTCTCCAGTGCCTTGCATATGATCAATATATGTTGGCTGAATTGATGAGTAAATTAGAGTTAAGTGGTAAGGTAGAATCACAGGCATAGAGAGAAAATTGGTGGGACTGAAGATAACTTTGTGTCCATGTATCACATATTTAACAAATACTATCTACTGTGTAATAATAGCTTAACCAATGGAGAATCAGGCCAGGTAGTGGTGGCGCATGTCTTTAATCCTGGCACTCCCGAGGCAGAGGCAAGCAGATTTCTGTGAGTTCAAAGCCAGCCTGGTCTACAGAGTGAGTTCCAGGAATCAGAAGTTGTGGGACATCATTGCCCAATGAAAGCTCCCTTAACTAAATGAGAAAAAGCAAATTCTGGTACCATAAATACCTAAGCTTATATGGACAATACAGAATCACTAACACCTCAAAGGGGTTGAAGAGGAGGTTGAGTTGCTGCCATCCTAAGGCTATATTTGTGAGAGAGTGTTTTGTTTGTTTGTTTGGGTTTTGTTTTTTTGGGTTTTTTGTTTTGTTTTGTTTTAGGTTCTTTTGTTTTGGGGGGTGGGGTTTTTTGTTGTTGTTTTGTTTGTTTTTGTTTTGTTTTGTTTTTGTTTTGTTTTTTTTAGTTAGTTGGTAGGTTTATTGGTTGTTTTTTTGAGGCAGGGTTTCACTGTGTAGCCCTGGCTGTCCTGGAACTCACTCTGTAGACCAGGCTGCGTCTGCCTCCCTAGTGCTGGGATCAAAGGCATGTGCCACCACTGACACCACCACCCAGCTGTGTTTTCTTGATGAAATTATCACTTTCTCTTTTCCTGACACTAATTACCCTTGACTTCATAGTATTCACAAAATACTCGTTAAAAAATACTTAGATGATGCTCATTCCTCAGTTATGTTAAAAGTAGCAACTGTATTTACTAGTTGGTTCTTGATGTTGCTTTCATGCCTTGCACAATGCTTCTCTCTGCTGGGATGAGTGTGGTGTGGTACAGGCCAGAGGGCAGCGCTTTGTGTTTCCTGCCTTTGTGTGTTTTATGTAAATAATATAAAGTCTTCCACTGGTACACAGAGGCAAGTAAGGCTCCTATAAAAAGAATAGAACAATAATACAGAATCCTGTCTGTGTGTGTTTTTCCCTCATTTTTAAGTTGTCTAGCCCATGGGCAATTCAACAGATTTGCGCAAGTATTTCCTACCACTTTTTATTAGGAACATTGCTAAATATGTAAAAAGAGAAGTTCAGAAATCATAAAATCAACTGAACCCACCACCTATATTTTAAAGTTAATATTTTGCCATATTAAAAAGTAACTTTAAAAAAAAGTAACTTAAAGATATTTCACCTCTAAGTACATCTCATAGAAATAAGTCATTCACGTAACTATATTACCTCAAAGAAAATGGGCGGTCCTTTCTAACATCTAAACAACCAATCCATTCTGATTTCCCTGACTGAGCCAGTGAGTTTCGGCACATCCATTATTGGATCTGTTTACTCTAGCTAGAACAGTCCCTCTCATTTTTCTGTTTTCAGGATGTGCTGACTGTCATATTTGGGATTTAGATAGTTTATGCAGGGCTTGCATATGGTGGAATATATGTCCTAAAACATCTGTAAATTATAAGTTGAGGCCAAAGACTTAACTGAGCTCAGGTTAAACATCTTTTAACAATAGCATTTCACAGTTGCAGTTCCTCCTTCATTGCCAAAACTCACTATCAGGTCAACACACTGTTCATGACGTGGCTATTGAGGTGGTAACCACCAGGTTGTCCCAATATAATTCTTCCTGTTATGGTTAACCATCTGTGGACTGACACTTGAGCAATGTGGCAGTCCTCTTAAACAACAATTTTGTACCTAGTCATATTGTTACTTAACAGTAATCCTTGCCTGGGTCAATCTTTTCATTAAGGTCTACAAAACAAGTGATTTTCTCTTCTCTTTCCACATTTGCTGAGCAGTATTCTGTAAGGAAGAATTTTCCTTTATTAGCTGAGAATGCATTAGAAGCAAGATAATGCTAGCTCTTTTCCACTAATTAACCAGTTTGGGAGTTTTTTGTGTTATCTGCAGTGATGACAGATGAGTCAATGTGTTAGTCAATTACAGTCACTGTTTCTGTCGACCCTCCTGGCATTGTCTCTCTGGTCGCTGGGTGCTTTATTGCCTTCTAACACATGGTATCTCAAGTTCATCCTACATGTCCAAAATTGCCCCACACCTGGAGAGAAACAGCTCTCCTGGAACTCCTGTCTCCTTTTTATAATTAGCTATTGAGAAACACGATCTGGGCACTAACACACACTCATTGCAACTGGAGTAGCATTAGCAAATGTTTACAACCAACTTTATAAAGAAGACATCCTCTCTTCACTCATTTTGCTGGTTATATGTCTAAGTAATTAATGAGGAATGCACTTTTACAGGAGGGTAACGGGAACAAACCACCAGGTCTTATCAAGCATCAAAGTAAATTCAAGAACTGGAAGGAACAATTATAACCATAGAAGGTCTGGTGCAAGGTCATCAGCCATTTGTTTGGGGGAATGGAGTTTGTCAGTTAATTTGGCAGTGGGTTAAGTGCAGGACAGTTATGAAAGCAAGCAGGTATATGGTCACTGCCTCACTGTAACCATTACATCTCAGTAGCTTTATAAGCTAATAGCACCTTCCACCACTTTTATTTATGATGCTGGTTTGAACCTAGGGCCTCACAGGTTAAGCTAATGCTCTACCACTAAGCTACACCACCAAATCCCTACCATATTTCTTTGTGTGGGGGCGTGTGTATGATGTATGTGTGTGTATATGTATGTGATGCACTTGTGTATATGTTTATTTGCACATGTGTGTTTGGTCAAAGGTAAGTGTTGGATGTTCTCCTCAATCATGCTCCACCTTATTTTTTAATCTACTCTTATTTTTTACTTATGTGTATGGGTGTTTAGCTTACATATACGTCTGTGGACCGTATGCATGCAGCCCTTGCAGCAGGTAGAAGAGGGCATCAGATTCCCCTGGAACTGAAATTAACAGATGATTGTCAGCCACTATGTGAGTCCTGGGGCTCGAACCCTGGTCCTCTAGTATAGCAGCCTGTGCTCTTAATCATTAAGCCATCTTTCCTGCCCTCTACCTTGTTTTTTGGGACTGGGTCTTTGTTACTGAAGCTGAACCTCACAGATTCCACCTGACTGGCAGAACAGCAAGCCCCATATTTACCTGTCTCTGACTCCTCAGCACCAGGTTGCACATCTGGCTTTTACATGTATGCCAAAGATGTGAACTCAGATCCTCATGGCTACACAACAGACACTCCACCAGCAGCCATCATCCCAGCCCCTGCATCATATTTCTTAAGCTAGTTCTCTGAGAATCTTTTGAATGAAAATATAGGCAGTGTTTTGTCTGCTGTATACATAGGCAGGGTCTCGCTGTATAGCCCAGGCTGGAACTCATTATTCTCCTGTTTCAGCCTCCATAGTGCTAAAATCGTCACCATGTACCAACAACAGGGATCAGCAATAGTTTGACTAAGTTTTAGTATTTAAACCTTTAAGGCATAATGATTCACTTTTGTTTGTTCTTGTGGCCACGCATGAGTCTATAAATGGAATTTGCATCCTCATGTTGCTCTCGACAGGGCTCAGTATTTCACCATATGTACTTGTCCCATTGAACATTAGAACCATTAAAAATGCTAAGTATATTCACTTTGGTGCTACATACAAAGTGTGTGTTAGGCATCGTCTGGTGCTCCACACTGTAAGCAAGGGGAAAGTGAGCCAATGGTGTTGAAGTGTCATTTTATAGGTCACATAGTGACAGAATTATGATTTGAAACCCATACCTTCCAGCACTTCAGTTCTTGTAAAATAATAAGTAGAAGCTCTAAGTACAAACGGTATGTATATGTAACTCTACAAAGTTATTAGAACATTGAAGACATCTTTTATCTGTTCCTGCTTTTTCATACATGGTTTCCTTAAATGAGCATAGCTTAAGATGCACCTCCCTTATCTTCAAAATGTTTCGGAACCATATAGTCAGTGATCACCTGGAACACCTGAATAATACTTAAGTAATTTGAAACTGAATTGTTTTAACCCCAAAAGGCTTTTTAAACTCACTGAACCTGATGAGAAAGCTGGAAGCTAATGTCTTCATCATAACTATCTTAGTCCTGACTGTTCTTACAATGAAGTTCCCTGTTTTGTGCCTAGAGTGATGTCTTTCCTGAAGACCAGTCTTAGGTCATATCAAAATAAGATCTATCTAGACGTGAAAAATATGTCGGGCATGATGATGCATGACTTTAATCCCAACACTGGGGGGGTGGGGGCAGAGGCAGGTGGATCTCTGTGATTTCAAAGCCAGCCTGCTCTACAAAACAAATTCGGGGACACAGGACAGCCAGGGATGTTATGTCACAGAGAACCCCTGTCTCAAAAAAAAAAAAAAAAAAAAAAGGTAATTATCTCCACTGGATGTTGATTTAAAATACAACCTAGTAGACCATCAAGATATTTAACACACAAGCCTAGTAAAAGGGGAGAACCAACTCCACAAAGTTGTCCTCTGACCTTGATGTCACACACAGAGTACATAATGACAAAGGTTTTTATTTCAGTGCCACCTAGGAGCTAGCAAGATGCGTCAATGGGTAAAGACTTTCCACACAAGCCTGATGACCTGAATCCAATCCCTGGAACCCACATAAAGGTGGAAGGAGATAACCAACTCCACAAAATTGTCCTTTGACCTCCACACATACACCTCGGCACATGTGCCCACACACATCAAACACTCATGCACAATAATATGGTTTTGTAAAGCACTGCCTGGAAAGTGCATCCATTCTGAGCACCGCAGATGCTGAGGCTCATAAGAACCCCGAATGTGGAGGTGGGCAAGAGTACTAGGAATATCGAGGTGGTGCACACCTTTAATCTCAGCACTCCAGAGGCAGAGGCAGGCAGATCTCTGAGTTCAAGGCCAGCCTGGTCTACAGAGAGAGTTCCAGGACAGC